TGATTTTTATAGTCAATCAACTGAAGGAATCATGCAATAAATGCCTGCATGAAACAAATCACCGGCACTCTTCGTTTTACAATGACTCCGTTGCCTTTTTTCAAAACCGATAAAACTCCGAAGCTTTGTCAAAATTTTATCTGGGCTTCTGTACAGCGGTCTGAGGACGCAGATCAAACGGGGTCAACAGTCTGTATTAACATAGCCAAGCCATGTTTGGCTGGAAATGGCCAGCATTCAGTTAGAATTTGTAGTGATACAAATTATGTGACGTGGTTCTGAGCATACGCGCATGCAAATTTTAGCAGAAAGACCTCGACGTCAGGCGTTGCAGTCTCCGCAGGCCGCTCAACATTAGCCCCACGACTTACACTAAGCCGTGGCTCACGGATGGACGAAAACGATGGCACCTTTGACTGAAGCACCTTTGAATACTTTAGGACTTTAAACCATGCATTCAGATGGCAGCCGGGCGTATAGTTTACCCGTGTGATTTTTAGATTGATGAATTGAACGGATTGGCAGCACTACAAAGCGGTGCTGGAATCTGGTGGTAGAACTGGAACAGCAAAGATAGGATCTTTATTTTTCCGTGTTGCTTTTACCGGTTAACTGTTCAGAGGACAGCCTCAAAGTTGTAAATGAAAACGTACGCCCAGCCTAACCTTTGAACGGTGCGAATTATTTTTCTAAGGCATTCGGAAGCCTTATTCCACGGGTGTCATGGGTACCCAGGTAACCCCAGGTGACGGGGATAACGCCTGGGTAGCCCCAGGCGACGGGTGCCATGCTCGCGAGAGCATGGCACCCGTCGGCTGGTTTTATTTGCAGAGGCCCTCGCCGTTCAGTTTTACGGAAGCTGCAACCCAGGCTGTCGCTGTCCTTGCTTACGAGATTGCGTGCCCGCAGCCTCAAACTTTTGATAATTTGTTTCGCAAGTGGATTCTGCATAACAATAAGCGTTCTCGAGCAGACAAAGATGGTCTCGTTCGCTTTTCAGTTCATCTTGATGCACTCTTTTCAACACTAATGAGACCCCTCATGTACGGAAATGGCCCCCCTTGAGTAGAACACTAGGTGGCACATTATTGTTCCCGGTCAAGGGCTGAAGGGACATTCCGTCCCACCGTGTGGTGTCCTCCGGCAGTCACCCTGGCGACACGGGACGGCATCCCCTGGCCGACCGGAGGCCGTTAGAGGACTGCGTTATATCATATTGGTCCCCTCCCGATGCCGTAGGCCTTCCGAGCTGCACAGACCGCAATTGTCCCCGGATCGACACAGAAGCCCGCATTGACGCAACAACATTCCTCATCGCCGCAGGTGGTCCTATAATTGGCACATAGACCCCAGTTCGGCTTCACGGCCCCATGCCGGAGTCGTGCTCAAGGGCCCGCCGGTCGGTACTGGTGGCCCTGACTGGCACAGGACCCTTCTATTGCATCAATGTGGACAATCATCATTAACTGTCATGTTTCCTTTTATTGTCAGAGGGTCCCGACCAACGCAAGAGGCCTTTGTCATTCGGAGTCCCGTCCCCGTCCCTGTTAAGCACATATTTTTCTGACCGACGCGAGGCCCCTTGTTGACACAGACTACCGTGTTCGGCACTGTGGATCCCTAAACAAAACAGGAGCCCCACATTGCTGCAGGAGCCCCGATCAATGTAAACCGCGGGCTCGGCCGTGCCCCTGCTTGGGAAATGAGCCCCCAGAGATCAGCCTGACACGGAGCCGACTGTTCAATGTTGGTGATCCTTGGTCGAAACAAAGGAATGCTCCCTCCCCGGGGTCCCCAAGCGGTGCAAGAGGCTCTCGCACTGACATTTGAGATCACTGCCCTGCGAGCGGAGTCCTTAATGTGACTTGCAGCCAGCCCTCAGCCTTCCAATCGGGGCCTTGATGTGACTTGCAGCCAGCCCTCAGCCTTCCAATCGGGGCCTTGATGTGACTTACAGCCAGCTCTCAGTCTTCCAATCGGGGCCCTGATGTGACTTACAGCCACACATCAGCCTTCCAATCGGGCCCCCGATGTTTGGTTTCCAGAGACCCTAGGCCCCTTTTCGGGCCCTGTCAAACATCGCTCCTGACCGACTCCGGCCACTTGTCACCACACGACCCTGTTAGGCTCTGCGGCCCCTGACCAACACAGGAGCCCCCCGTTGTGTCAGTGACCCCAAACATTGCAAATCGCGGGCCCCGGCCTCGTTCCTGCTTGGGGAATGGGCCCCAAGGGCTCAGACGGACGTGGAACCGACATTTCGGCGTCGTGTCAAGGCCCTATATAATAGGCATAGAGAACCCTAACAAAAGGGATCTGACAGAAGCCCTCTGACATTTCAGATCATGGCACTGCAGGGTCCGACGGACTGCGGCCAGGTCCGAGTCCAATCGGGCCCTTGATCTTTGGTTCCGAGAGATCCTCCTGTCCCTCTTCGGACCTCCTCAAACAAAATCCGTGATCGACTATGAGCTGCTAGCCAAGACATGATCTCCTATTGCAGTGTGGACCCCTGACCGACAAAGGGCCCCAGGCACTGTTGTAGGGGCCCAGACCGATGCAAATCATGGCCCCAGATATTGTTCCTGCTTAAGAAAATGGGACCCCGGGTTCAGACTGACAGGGAGCCAACTGTTCGGCATTCATGATCTCTGGCCGAGCTAAGCACTCGCATTGTCGGAGGACTCTCAAACCGTACAACATGGACACTGACGGGTATTTCAAGTCACAATCCTACGGACCGCGATTTTTTATGTGACCTACAGCCCATTCTTCAGAACCTTATGCCCTCTACCCGGGCCTTTAAATACTAAAAATGACCTCTGACCGGCCTTGCGGGTCCTTCGACCCCTCAAAGAAAAACAGCAAAAAGAACAGGCAAACGAGAGCAGAAGACCGAAAACACCACGGGCCGCAGTCGCAAAAGAATCCAGGTGAACGGTAAGGCGATGTGGACAGGAAGAGACGGAATGTGCTTGTCAGCACCTGCACAATTCAATGCCGCCTCCAGCGTGAACCAGCATCTGTGCCATCAAAAGTTGATGATTGCGTCTGTGGGCCGAGCGGCAGAGTTGCATCCCCCCCCCCCCTCCCCCCCCCCCCCCTGCTGAACTTGGCCGAGGGCCCGCGTCGCACCGCAGAAGTCCTGCGGCCAACTGGAGCCACGAAGCTCTCGGTTTATCTCCCTGAAGCCGGGCGTAGCGGCGGGTCCAGACTTCCTTCATCAGCGCGGCCCGCAAGAACCGCCGCGGGCAACGTTACGTAACTACGGACGGGGAGCATTCGCCGATGTGGTCAATGCCAACAGGGCGGGTCTTCCTTCATGAAAGGGCGCCTGATGTCGGCTGTGACGGATGGCCGCAGCTCGACTGGAAAAGGCGACGCCGCGCCTGAGGCGCTAGCTCCCGACGCTGAGCTACATCGGTCGGCCAGCCACCCAGCGCCCCATCGCAGGCGGGGGTCGCGAGGCGTCACCCAGCGCCCCATCGCAGACGGGGGTCGCGAGGCGCCACTCAGCGCCCCATCGCAGACGGGGGTCGCGAGGCACCCCTCAACGCCCCATCGCAGGCGGGGGTCGCGAAGCGCCACTCAGCGCCCAATCGCAGGTGACGGTCGCGAGGCACCCCTCCGCGAAGCGCCACTCAGCACCTCATCGCAGGCGGGGGTCGCGAGGCGCTATTCAGCGCTCCATCGCAGGCGAGGGTCGCGAGGCGCCACTCGGCGCCCCATCGTAGGTGGGGGTCGCGAAGCAGTTTGCAGAAGGGACAACGACCGAGTTCAAGCTTTCGTGTCTTTATTTTTGTACAAGACTCCCACATGTTCGGCGATGATGAAAGACAATCACGAGTTTGATGGCCGCGGCGAGTGAACTGTACATGGCGAGAATAGGCAAGCTGTCTGCTGGCCACCCACCCGTCCAAGACGGCTGCGAGAGTCTAGCAAGGGGTGCACTGCGCAGGGGGCGTCCCCACCCCGGCCTCACAGGCGCGCCTCCCCGCCGGCGGCGAGGTGCCCAGACCAGGACCAGCGGCGGAGCAGCCGACCAATCGCGGCGCGCCTGCCCGCACCTGCGGAGCAGCCGACCAATCGCGGCGCGCCTGCACGCACCTGCAGACACACACATACACACGCCGGCCAGCAGCGCGGCTCATGCAAGGGACGAGTAAACGTATTCTACAAAAGCTTCTGGGTTTGTTCGGTTCCACGCGCACACAGTCGGCCTATCTTACACTTCAAGTAGCAAAACATCAGCAACAAGCCGCCCACAACGAAACGATGCCCGCAAAACCGGGGACCTCGTCTCCGCCGCTCCGACAGACGCGGCAGAACGTCGCGGCCCGCTGCCGCGTTAAGGACTTCATAGCGACCGCCCGCACAGTTAAAGTGATCTGCTGCGACCGTCCGTGTCGGCTGTCCTCACGCAGGTAACAAACGTAACGGCCGAGCTCGGCACAGCGCCGAGGTTCGGCCGCCCTGCGATCCGGAAATGAGGGACGCGTCGCCGATAGCGCCGGTTGCTCTCCACGAGACCCCGCAGTCCGGAGCCGGCGCCGCCGCCGCCCCCGAGACTGCTCGCCGCGGAGAACGAGTCCCCGCTTCTGGAGGTCATCACCGGGCAGATAACGGGCTTCGACGCAGCCACAGGCTTACCCCCGCCCCTCCCCCTCCCCCCGGCACCCCCGGCCCGTCCGGCTGGAAGAGGGCGCTGACAACCGTAACACGCGACCGCTACGTAACGATCCTTGTTTGTACTGGCTTCTCCACCACCTGGCACGTGTCAGCCACTTCGCGACAATGGGGCTTTGCCCTTTACCTCGACGCGTGCTGCAGCGCCCCAGAACAAAGCTAGGTTCGGGCCCGGGTTTTGAGTTCAGTGCATGGAACTAACGACCGGATGTATGAGCGCCAGCGCCCCCAAAGATCCGGCGCCTCTTCACAGAAGCCAAGCTTCACAAAACCACCACGAGATAGCGCTTCCGCCCCAATGCAGCGCCTCCCGCTCACGACTTGTTGAAGTTGCCCTGCAGCATGCGCTGGTAGGCCTCGATGTTGGCCTGCGCCTGCTCCTTGGTCATGCCGGGCATACTGGGCATCATGGTCATGCGCTGCGCCATCAGACTCTGCAGCGCCATCTGCTGCTGGGCGCGGTGCAGCTGCTCCAGGCCGGACGCCTTGCCGACTGCCGGGAAGCCGGCCATGTACTGCAGCATCTGCGGCGGCAGCGACGTGCTCGCCATATGCAGCGCCATCAGCTGCTCGACCGAGCCCAGCGGCGCCGCGGCCGGCGATGGCGCCTTCCCCACCGGTGTGATGGTGATGGAGCCGATGCGGGTGGGCTTGAGCAGCGGCCGCGCCGCCGGCGGCGCGCGCGGCCGCTCCGGCTCCGGGCCTCCGGACGTCAAGTCGATCACCTCGATCTCGGCGGGCGGCGCGGCTGGCAGCGCGGTGCGCGGCGCGGCGCGCGGCGGCGGCAGGCCCGGCGCGCGGCAGCGGCGTGATGGTGATAGAGGGCCGTGTCTGCGCCAGCGCCGACAGCACGGACGTGCCGGCGGCCGGCGGCTGGCCCGGCGGTCGCGGCGCCGGCCCGGCCGACAGGCGAGGTCGCTGCTCGGCCATCGGCTCCGGCAGGCCGCGGTCGTACCGCTCGAACGGCAGACACAGCCTGCAACGCGACAGCGCCGGCTCAGCGTCACACGCATCACCTCCGCCGAGGCCTTCACGGGACGAGAGGATCGGCAACAAACTGGACCCACCTCACGGGTAGTCATGCGTGGCGAACATTTCTTCGTACCAACATCTACTGACAGCCCGATGACGGTACGAAATGACCAAATACATAGCACAAGATAACTCACGCTGCCCTACCGGGAAGGAAGTAGGCCCAAACCTCACCTGTAGAGTTGTGGGATTGCAAAACTAGCGGACGCCTAAGCAGCCCCGCGGCCGTGGGAAGGCAACAAGGAGAGGGGGACGTAGCTGTGGCGGAAGCAAACGCAGGCTGAGGGATATGTAATAGAGCCTATGCGCCGCGATAATGTAAACATGTTAAAAACATTAGTCTCTCTTGTCTGACAAAAAGAACGGTGCCCCTCGTATATGCCATTTATGAGAGTGATGTAACTTGTTCTGTTTATTTACGTCTGGCATCCATCAACACCCGACTGCGCATTAAATACAGCTGTTACGATCCGCACATCAGCCGCTGCTGAGATTTTGAGAGCAAGAGATATAGATGAGCGAGCGATGACTGCGATGAGCGATTTCTTCCCAGTGGGAGACAAGACAAAAGAGGGCGCGTGGGTTGAACTGCTCCTCCGGCTTGTGAGAAATTTCACAGGGAGCTCGCTAAGACAAAGACAAAGCAACAATGAACAGTCGGCGGGGGGTGTGGGGGAGGGGGGCGGGAGGAAGGGATGACAGTGGCCGATATGGACAACACGGCACGCCGCCGTCGGCACTGACCGGAACATCACAGGCCCGCTGACTTCAGCACAAATGTGCAGGACATTTGGCAACATCTACGTCCTGATGGCGGTCGGATCCCAATCCGGATCCGACCGTCACCCGCCCTTCCTCCCCCGCCCCCCCCCCCCCCTAGGTGGCCTGAGCCGGAGCGTGGCCCGGCCGGCCGGCGGCAGAGACGCACCTCTCGTAGCAGCGCCGGGTGCACGTGCCGGCGGCCGTGTTGTGCGGACTGCCGCCCATCTCGTCAAACACCTGCTTCCAGAGGCGGCGCGCGCACACGGACTGGTAGCCACCCAGCTGCTGGACGCGCCGGTACAGTCGGAACAGGCTCACTGCAACGAGCGTGCGTGCCGACTGGTAACCGCCCGGCCGGCCCCCGCACGAGATGAACAACACGACCGAGCCGACGACAGGGGCACAGGCCGGCTCACGGCAACACAACATACTACCAGTGTGAGAGGATGACGTATGAAAAAGCAAACCACCTTATCTCAACAGGCAAATGGGGTGGATGCTGCGGACCCGGACCGTATTGGTCAGTTCCAACGGGCAATTACGATCGCGTGACGAAGAACAGCAGGTGAGCAGTACGGATTTGCCGGGAGCTGGGTGCTCTTGATCAGGACATCACTAATCCGTTGCAAACAGGCCCTAAGACATGGGGATCCTCTACGAAATAGCCCTGTAGCAGCGTGCACACCGTCGACCGGGTCCGATACGTCAGCTGCCCCGGACAAAGGTCACACACCTCAGACAGCAGCTCGAGTCCGCGGGGTCACGGAGGTCCGCTACATAAGTTATGAAGGATGAGGTTCATGGCAGCTCCGTTTTCTCCCAATATGAGTTACAAAAGCCATACTGACAGTGCAGACTGTGCAGTGTGTACTGCGCAGTATGCAATGTGCAGAGGAAGACAGTGCACCAGACAACGCGCCAGAGATCGGCGGCCCCAATATGGCGGGCAGAGGAGCGCGACCCGTGCCGAGGCCGGGGCCGGTGCACTAACGGTTCTGGAGCCCCCAGATGGGCATGCTCTTGATGGGCGTGCCGCGCTGGTTCATGAAGTGGTGCAGCCGCTGGAGGAGCTCCTTCTCGCCCCAGCGCCACGACTTGAGCTGGTGGGGCTGCTTGCCGCTGGGCATAAGGCCACGCATCAGGGTCGGCTTGCGGCGCAGGGAGCCCGCCTCCAGCGTCACGTGCGCCTGTCGACACAGGGAGCCGGCGCCGAGGGTCAGGCTGGGGGTGTGCACACCGAGGTCAGGCCGGCGGGGACACGGCGAGCAGGGGTGCGACGGACGGCCAGAGGCGCTCGCTGCTGGCGGCACATTGCGGCACTGTGGGTCAGGCTGGGGGAGAGGGCGAGGCACGGACCCACCTGTGGTCGCTCAGTGACGAGGGGATGCCAGGGGTTAGACTGGGGAGCGCCCGAAACCTCACATCGCCTCTCGCCTAGCCCCCACCGGTCCCATACAGTCCACCCTCGCCACCAGGTGCACAGTCGCCCTCCATCACCCTCCGCTGGCCGCAGCACCACCGCCCGACCGCACAGCCGGACAGTCAGCCGGGCCGGCCGGTCGCCTCACCGCCGCAGTCGGCATCTTCGGCAGGCTGCTCTCCGTGTCGGAGGTGGACTCGGAGCTGGGCGACGAGCCGTCGCGACGTGCCTTCTTCCGACTGCGGCCGCGCAGCTTCGGCGCTGAAACGGAGCGGCGCAGGTCAGGCTGAGGCCGGGGCTGGACGGCGGAGGCCGGCCCGCCACCAGACGGCGCAGGTCAGGCCGGGGCCTGGGCTGGACGGCAGAGGCCGGCCCGCCACCAGACGGCGCGGGTCAGGCCGGTGTCGGGGCTGGATGGCGGAGGCCGGCCCGCCACCAGACGACGTGGGTCAGGCCGAGGCCAGGGCTGGACGGCGGAGACCGGCCTGCCACCAGACGGCGTGGGTCAGGCCAGGGTCCGGGCTGGACGGCGGAGACCGGCCTGCCACCAGACGGCGCAGGTCAGGCCGAGGTCGGCGCAGGACGGCGGAGGCCGGCCCGCCACCAGACGGCGCGGCGAGCGGCGCGCCTGTCCACGACCGGCGCAGGGAGGAGGGGATATGGACAGGTGGCCTGGAGGCGCCGCGTGGCCGAACAAACTGCTGGGCCACGTGGGCAGGATGGCCGATACCGAGAGGCCGGGACAAGCCAGGCGGCGTCTGCTGCGGCCTTCAGCAGCACGAGTTATTTGGACGCTGGTGAGACGTCGTTGATTCTCTCCCCGCTGCATCACAACGTAAATCACGGCTCAAACCAACATGCCACGACGGTTCGTCACCGAGCGGGCGAGTCCAACCAAACACCAGATAAGATAGATAACCCTCCCAGCCCAGCAAACCTGCGTGAATCGCTGCACACCGGCGGCCGGTGTCCACGCCACCCTCCCCACACCGGTTGCCGCTGTCCATGACACCCTCTCCACACCGGCGGCCGGTGTCCACGTCACCCTCCCCACACCGCCGGCCGCTGTTCGCGCCACCCTCTCCACACCGGTTGCCTTAAACCGTTCGGCCGGTCATAACTCCGTCATGATCCCTGGCAAGCCGGCGCACGTGTACAGTCCGGGCGCATGACTCACTGCGGCCGGCTTGGCAGGCCGTCTCGGGGCAGACCAGCGTGGCCGAGGCGGGCCCCAACACCGGCCCACGTACCGCAGGCCGTCTCGGGGGAGACCAGCGTGGCTGAGGCGGGCTCCAACACCGGCCCACGTACCGCAGGCCGTCTCGGGGGAGACCAGCGTGGCCGAGGCGGGCTCCAACACCGGCCCACGTACCGCAGGCCGTCTCGGAGGAGACCAGCGTGGCCGAGGCGGGCCCCGCCGTCTCGCGGGAGGTCAGCGTGGCCGAGGCGGGCCCAACACCGGCCCACGTACCGCAGGCCGTCTCGCGGGAGGTCAGCTTGGCCGAGGCGGGCCCCAACACCGGCCCACGTACCCAGGTGGTTGCAGAAGACCTCGTGGCTGTCCAGCTCGGGGTAGTCGAACACGTCCCGGCAGTAGAGCAGGCGCGTGTTGCGGCTGGGGATCTGCTGGCCGCCGAGGGCGCGCACCAGCGCGTGTGTGTACACCCGCGGGTTCACCGACTCCAGCCTGAAACGGAGCCGGACAGGGCCTGTGCACGGGCCGGGACTGACGCAAACTCGGCCAATGGCCGACTTCAGACCGACAGCGGACAGACACGAAATCGCATCGTGATGATCATCAGCACAGGCTCGGGAATAATCTTGGGATGCTAACGAGACGAACTCACGGCATGTCAGGTTTTGGATAACGCTCGTAGCTGGCTTACTAGTGACATGGACGCTTAATAGTGTGTCCGGTACTTTGCTTCGCAGCGTCAATGGCTTCGGCAGCTGCACAGCAAAGCAATATGACGTATTGCTCTGAAGGCATGTCAAAATCCGCAGCATTGCCGACAGACTCAACCAAAAGATCTGTGGGCTTATCATGTCCACACACGGCGGTACTGCAGGCTCAACACTGCCACAGCGCCATTACACATCAATTAGTCGTAAAATCTCCAGCATTCGAAGAAACGTGACTTTCCACATACACAGTGAAGCGAGGCGGCCGCGCGAGTGTCAGCCTCGCAAACCGGTTTTGGTTTGTTCCGCCACGTGTAATCTTTTGGGAATCCACAGTAACGGCACGACAATGGCAGTTGATGCCGATAACAGGGTATCAATCCTCCCTCGTTTATCGACGGTTGGAATGATGATATTACAGGTGAACAAGCTGCGCATTTGCATACACATGTGGCGCTCTGCTCAAATGTTTCTTATAACGCTTGAAAAGGGAACAGTAACACAGTACGCCGTAGCCCTGCCGCAGGGCAGGAAGCACTGAGCAGAAGACGACATACAACGACAGGTCCACACTGGAAGTTGACATTGAAAAACCTACGAGACGTGCCGCGACTTCAGCATAGATTTCGCTCGCAAGCACGACCAGCACCCGGTTCCGGCTGCCCCCCCCCCCCCCTCCCACTCCCTCTCACGCACACACTCCCGATCCTCCGCCGCTCCCGCCGACCCGTGTCAGCGTTGCCCCCCCCCCCCCCACACCCTTTCACCCCTCCCTTCCGCTGGTCCCACCGTTTCATGAGGCCGCGCAGCCGGCAGTAGCGGTCGTAGCTGAGCACCAGCGCACACGGCTCGTCCGGGTCAACGGTGTCGCCTGCAACGGACGCGGCGCCCGGTCAGACGGCGGCGGCCCGGCGAGAGGCGCGCGCCTCCGCGGCACGACGGCGTGACTTGCAGCTCGGGCTGCGCCGACACGGCGCGGCCGAGGCGCTCGTGGCCGCGCTTCGCCGCCCTGTCAGCCACGCCGCGGCCCACTCGGCGCACCTCCGTGTGGGACGCGTCACGTGGCGGATTGTTAGGTCGATTTCACGCGGCACGGGATGCCCCGCGGCGGTGCGGACGAGCCCCGGCGAACGCGCCGCTCCACAGCGGAGGCGACGCCAGAGAGGACACTCTCCGCCGTCGTCGCCGCCGCCGCCGCCGCCGTCACCCAGGCGCAGAGGCGGGACTGGCGGGCATCACGTCACGAAGCACATCACACCACGGTTGACGGCGCGTCACGCTTGAGACATCACAACCACCATCAACAACATCATCCACAATCATCAACCAACCATCAACAGCCCATCACGAAACAGCATTGGGGACGCGCAGAGGGGATGGTGCGCCCGCAGTCGACGCAGGCAGCCGGTCACGCGGCGGCGGCGGCGGCGGCGGCGGCGGCGGCGGCGGCGGTGGCGGCACGGCCACCCTCTCTGACCAGTACAGACCACGGATCGGCCAGAGATCGCGGGGTCGCGCCGGGCCAGTGTCAGCTCGCGGCCGAGACACGCCTCATCCTGGCTCCGGGCTCGGCGGATCGGCTACGGAGCCCGCGAACGGGATAACTGGTCTGTGACAGCTGTAGCGCCCCATCGTGACACACGTTGTTAAAACACGTAGCTGGCCTCTTTACCAGCCACCGGAAGTTCAGCTTTCAGCCCGCACTGCCGCCCTGAATGTTCTTCCCGTCCACTGCCAGGGGTGTATTGTCTCACCCATCAAGCTGCAGCCCGGACGAGCAATGAATTACGATCTCCGTTCGAGTGGCCTTGGGATTGAGGGTAAGGCCGGCGACGCATGCGTTTGAATGGCTGGCCCGGTCCCCCTACCACAAGTCCAGCCTCCAGTGGCGCTCGTACGTGCGACGGTCGAAGTCAGCCGTAGCAGCACGGCCGCCACGAGCGGCCGCGGATGACGGACCCAGCCGTCGAGAACCGGCAGCGCGGCGCCCTCCTTCTCTCTCTCTCTTTCCTCTTCTCGGCTGTTCACGAGTGACTGCGCACTGCACAGCTCCAGACCAAAGGGAAATTCCAAGCCGACGCCGAGTTTCCGACCATTAGCATGACTACGCCAAACGGCTCGTGAACACGTGAATCAGGCAATTTTTCTCACCTCGCAGTTCACACAAACGGCCAGTGCCAAACACCACGGGCCCTTGGGCCATCGCGACAGTTTCTTTGTGGCGACGCCGTGCCCGACATGTCTGCCGACACTGCCGCGCTGCAGGCCGGCATACATATGCACTACTTGACCCGGTACTCGCCCCGCATAACGATGTGAAAGGTGAGCGCGCCAGCTGCACAACAGCGCCGACACGCCGCTCGTATCAATGTAACGTACCGCGAACGGACAGGGAAAACGACAGCGTTGCACATACGGCGCAGGCGAGGGGCGCGACAGAGGCCCGGCGCGCGCCGAGTTTTAACGGCAGATTCTGTACAGGCATCGGATGTGCACGCTATCCGTTTGCAAGCCCCAGAGCTTAGCTCGGTGCTTTCCGCCGTAGCTGACAGCTTACATGTGTTCACGGCTTAACTCCAACCCGGCCCGAAAAAGCCCGCGTCTGCCCATTCCCAGCGAATCGGCAGGCGCCGGCGGCGCTGCCGCCCCTCTTCCACCCCGAGACGGCGCCCACGCCTCCTCTCCCGCCTGGAGCCGGCGCTGCCGCCTCTGTTTTCGCCCCGAGCCGCAGCTGCCGCCCCTCTCCCGCCCCGAGGAGGCTGCTACCTCCTCTCCCGCCCCGAGCCGACGGTCCCGCCCCGAGCGATTGCTGCCGCCCCTCTCCCGCCCCGAGCCATTGCTGCCGCCCCCTCTCCCGCCCCGAGCCAGAGCTGCCGCACCTCTCCTGCCCCGAGCCGCCCCGCCGAGGCCCCAGGTACGCTCACCGAGGCTCCGCTTGGCGCGCTCCACGTCGGCCATGGCCAGCCGGCCGGAGGCGGCGGCCGTCGAGCAGAAGGCGGCGGCCGGGCCGGCCGGGTTGTGGCCGCCGCCCGCCGGCCAGCCGGCCGCCCAGCGCGGCACGCGCACCACCACATCGGCCAGGTCCTCCAGTCGCACCGTCAGCTTCTCCTGCACGGCCAGCACCTCATCCTGCCGGCGGGGAGGGGCGGCGTCAGCTACAGTGGTGCCGCTTCTCTGGGCCACTGGGATGACCGCGAGAACCGGCGATCTCTGCACTGCGGAACGGCCGGGCCAGTGGCTGCTGGGGCTGTTGTCCTGAGGTTATTAGGACGAGCCGGCGGATGGTCAAGCCCAGCTTGTGCAGCATGCAGACAAACACCACGTGGTTCAACCATACGCGTCCCTGAAACAACGATGGTACTCGAGTGGAGGAGAGACAGGTCGGCGAGAGGGGGGGGGGAGGGTCAAAAATGTGCCCGACTCTGGTAGACTTCGGATTGACTTCAGAACCAACTGTTTTCACTGAGTCAGATCTGAATACATCCATCTAACTTTTCAGTGAGTTACTGTCGGGGTTGAATCAATCAAACAACCGGCGGGTTTATTCAAACATAAATGTAAGAACAGCAAATAGTAGTACGGTGGTATGCAAACCTGTATATGTACACGACCTGTGTGGGTTTTGATGCATCTCACACAACGAGCAAACTTTCTAAAAGCTGTTAGCACAATGCATTCCGATCAGATCAATTTCGTTGGAATCGATCATGGCATCTCGCCAAATTTTCCCCGGCCGAATTAGCAGTCGACTCCAAACGCGCCATAATCGTGACCCGATGCCCGAATCGACTCTGCTCAAGCGATACCAAGCATGAGTCTGGAAGCTGTCGGGGTCCAGATCCAAATCACAGCAGCATAAGTCTTCCGCGGCACATCTCTGGCGTCGAGAGGCTGAGAGCGCGCCGCCGCCGCCGCCGCCGTCCGAGCGGACCCCCCAGCCGCCGGCGCCGACACCCTGGCGGTCTCCGCCGCCGGCGCCTACTGCCGCTGCGCCCCGCCCGGTGTGTGCGGCGGTCGCCACGTCAGGGAGCCGTGCACAGAGCCGGACAGAGCGGCGGACACCGGCGCCGCGCGACCGTCCGCCGTCGGCCCTGCCGCCGCGCCACGGGCGAGCCAGTAAGCCGACCCCGCGACGCCCGGGGCGCTGCGAGGTCGGCCGCGCGGCGGCCCGCGTCAGCCCCCGGGGCTCTGTCGACGTCAGGCCGTCGTCACGTCAGACGGTCACACTGCAGCGGACCGCCGGATCCGCCGACCCGACGCACCGCGACCCGATCGCACCCGAGCCGCGACTCATCCCCATTCGGCTCCAGCGCACCCAGCAGCGCAAAACAGCCGGGAGCAGATCGCTATGAGCCAACTGCCTCAAGCAAGCCCGCAGACCATCTACAGAGTGCGTGAGTATAGGAGCACGGCGTCAGCTGCCCCGGCCCGTTAACGTGACGTCACTCCACGCGGATTCGTCGCGGGCCGCTTCCCTGCCTGCCGATGGCGTCCCTGCGCCGGGAGCCAGCACAGCTCCGCTGACAAGCTCCAGTCTGAGGCTGGCGACCGGCCAACTGGCCCGCCCCAGTCCAGAGGTCGCGCGCCGCCCGGCCGCGTCCGCAGCGTGTGTCAACGGGTCAAACTGGAGGCCCGGCAGGTCCGCGGTAGAGATGGCCCGTTTCGGCGGCGGGCCCAGGTCAGACACGGACCTACAGGACGCCTCGACCCGGACGGTACCGGACGGCGGGTGCTCTCCGCATCTGCGGCAAGGCAGATGGGTCAGGTAGCCCTTCCCAGCGTTGATCAGTCCGAGCCCTGTTCGAGCCGAGATGTGCGGAATGCTGCAGCGCCAGTAACTCAGTCATCACTCCTGTCCAATTTCCAAGGGTACGGAAATAATAAATGTCACGCAACAGCGCGCGCGCCAGCCGGATCTGTGCGTCGTGTATGTTTGTCACGAGCTGTGTGTACTCGTCCTCTTTAAGTGCTTGGCAACGAACCAGATGAGGCGCTTTAAGTGACTTTTCCCTGTTTGCATCGGACGAAACCAGCCGGTTTAACGTAAATCTTCCGCCGGGAAATACAGCGGGGAATTCCCTATCCCGACGCTGGCCCTCCGCCTGGACCAGATCATCAAAAAGATGGAGTCAGATCGGGCCGCCGGCACCGGCCCATCGAAGCGGAACAAATCGGCACATTCAGCCACACAAGCAAATCCGCGAAATGGAACCGTTAACTGGAGACCAGCTGTTTGCCCTACATTGCGCCCCCCCCCCCCCCCTCCTTTCACTTTTAAACTATGCAAGCGGTCCGTTCTCTCTGTGCAGCCTGCGGGCCTCGGCTTGATGGCCCAACGAAACCGGCAGTCCACGGTCGTCGGCCAGTGGACCCGGGACCGGGCGAGGCCGCGAGCGATTGTCAGTCTGCAGTCTGTAGTCTGTCAGTCTGTCAGTCTGTCCAGTCTGTCAGTCCAGCCTCCCATCGCGCAGCAAAACCTGTCACCAAAAGCGACACACCCGTGCACCTGTGTCTCCACTTCCGCAAAAGCTGTCCCCCATAACTGACCGGGCCGGCTGCGGTTAGCGTGTCCGCGACCTGCCCAAACCCAGAGACCCACCAACGACAGCTGGAGGCATTATCCGACCGACCGGCACACGGCGCGCCGAGCCCTGCCGCGGCGGCGGCGACACACTGCCCACCGGAAGCCAGCAGTTGACCGGCCATGAGCCCCTCCCGAGCGACGCCGGCGACAGCCCGCACGTGGCGCACGTGACGGAGGGTGGCACGTGTGACGGACGCACGGCACCTCGGTTTACGGGCCAAACATCGACTCGGCGCCGAGCACCGCAAAAAATGGCCCAACACCGAAGGAAAACAAGCTGCGATGGAGAAAACTCGTCGCCTTTCCTGTTCCTGTTCCTTCGCTGATGCGCAGCTCACTTCCATTACTGCTGGATCCACACCCGAAGTCCGAGAAGAACCACTTCAGAACCAGCATGTCAGCTAATTTGAGTTCGTGGTCGGGTCCCTGATCTCATTTCGGAGTATCTAAGATTGTGGAAACATTTTTCGTCTGGCAACCACCTGGGACCACTTTGTTAAAGCGGCCCGCATCGGGCGCCGCTGCTAACATGTGAGCTGGAAACAGGTACAGCTAAAGCAAGCAATTTTACTTACGACTGTATTTATCTACAGGGAGAGTTAGTGAGAACTCGTAGCTTTCAGCACGTACTTCACGGTAAACCTCAACAACGACGTACACCAATCAATAATTTCGCGTTAAGAAAACAGGTCACAAGCAACAGCAAACGACACGAGCGATCAAGGTCACGCCGCGACGGGCGGCCGCTCCGTCGACCTGACCACGTGTGTTGGCGAGGAGCGCCGCGGGCCAGAGCCGGCCGCCTCGGATGGGCTCCAGCGCCCCGGCTCGAGGATCGATCGACCCTCCTGCTCCGCCAGGGGCAGCTGACAGCGCCCGGCCACGGAGGAGGACGGCCGGCATGGGGGAGGGGGGGGGAGCACCGCACGTGATACTCAGCAAAACATGGCAGCCAGGCGGCGGCGAGTGCCCGCGCCGACGTTTGCCGGCGTGTGAAACGAGCTGGGAGACACGAGATGTTTTCTTGGCAGAGCGACCAGGGAAACAAACGCTAAGCGTGACGCAAATCATATGAGAAACAGGCGTAGCGATACAAACGGCAATCAGGAACAGGAATCGTTTGTTGAACAATGCCACAAATTACCTGACTTTCCCAATAAATTTCCCTCCATCTATTTCGAAAACTGCAAAGCGTCAGCGCGGTTAACTGCGATCCAGATTGATGTAGCCAGACGTGCTTCCGAGGAGCGAACGCGAACTACGGAAGGAACTTTTTTATTTTGGGCGGCGATATGTTTAGGGGATGCATACGCATGTCACAATAATCGCAGTACATTCATTCATAAACCTCATTAAGCAAAAGGCGGTGCAGCTGGCTTCACTCTGTACGGTACGTATAGGCAAAAATATGCTGCTGTCATGTTTAGGTCCATTTATGAAGCTTGAAGACAGTTCGCTGGGTCTTTTAATTCCTCTTTCCTTATAAATGCCAGTTTTTATAACTGTAAACATGACACTTTTCAGTCCCCGGTGTCCAAATATGGCCATTCTCTCGGACGGTTCAAATAGATGATGATTACTTGGCAAAGCTGCCTTTCAAATTTGCCTACTGACTTGGTCCCATAAACTGTTTCTCAATTTATACATTTATCATTGATGTACTTGGCCCCGTCTTCCCGAACAACGTAAACACAACCCACAATTCGATACCGCGAAAACACAGGAAATGAAACAACTAGTTTTGTATTAAGAAGAATCTCTCAAGGTCATCACATGCAAAGGTGTGCAGTCTCGCAAATATCTAGCCAGCCCTAGTGTAAGTGCGGTGGACATAGCACAAGATAAGTAGTAATTATGATTACAGCAGCTTTCCTTTCAGTGATTTTTCTGCCTCAGTCCTCACAGACCATGGTTTTAGTTCCGCAAAATAAGTTGGGAGACTGTACTGGGAAAAACGAAACAAGCTTACCCCACAACACCCCGACAAATAGGTTTTTCCCATATTTGACCCACTTCCTTCTTGAGGCCGGGGAAGCTTGTGCCCAAGTTGGGGGAAAGCCCCTGACTGATAAGGAAACTGCACCCCTGCACTGAATGCTTCCTTTTCCCCGGACATACGAACATTTGCGTCGTTGCTCTGCGCCGATGAGTAACATTACAGATTATTCACTAGCACGCGGCTGTTCAATTTGTCGCAACGCTTCAGACATGCGTGGAACGTGCAGGCGGACATGTGGGAGTTCGACACGAATCTTCCACGTTTTCGAACAGGCACGTGGGAACTGCTATAAAGGTTCATCCAATAGCGTTAGAAGTGAAGAGCCGGACACCTCAAAGACGCCGCGCGAGCCGTTCGATTACGCGACGCCAACATCTCATTCCACAGTTCAACGCGTTCAACACAACATGATTAAACCCAGAAACAAATCCAATCAACTTGCGGCGGCCTTTCATCTGAGCGCCTGCTGACCTTTGACAGCCCGGTGGTGTGACATTCGTGCCCGCAGGCACCGCCAGACCGCCAGCGGAACATCCGATGCGTCCG